ACTGTTAGCACAATATCTACATTGATCACAATGTCAATCTCAGGTCTCTCCTCCATCATGTATTTTTTGGAGGAGATCTTGTTGAAGAGACCGCAATCCTGTCCTCAATTTCAAATCTCTCCTGTTGCTGTCTTTGGAGAAGTCTCTCACAGGCAAAGCTCTAGGAGCTTTCTAATGATAGGCTATGCAGCTCATCTTCTGAAATGGAGCCAATATTTTGGGTTTCATCTTGGTTACCTGAAAGTTCCAATGTTTGCGGTGCCACCACTGTCTGCACCTGAGGTGTTAAAGGCTTATACTTTTACTTAGCGTTTTTCAATATGTCTGGGTCAATATCAGATAAGCCTTTACATTTTCTATTATGTGGGTCTGATTTTTTGCAATGATTTTTGAAAACACTTGTAGGCTCAAGAACCAGCAGTGTCCTTTGCTATAGTTGTCTGCCTCTGAGTTAGTAAAAATTTAGGTAGTTTCCATTACAATGGTGCCTCGCATAACGAGCACACCGTTTAACGACGAATCCGCATAGTGATCTATTTTTTTAGATCGCTAATGCGATCGCATTGCGATGTTTTAATGGGCAAAACATCGCATTGCGATGATCGGTAAGCATTTTGCTTACCGATCTTCGCATTGCAATGTTTCTAAAACAGCTGATTGGTGGTTCCAAAATGGCCGCCAGGTGCCCAAAATGGCCGCCGCAACCATTTTCGCGTGATTTCCTCGCTTATCGAGGGCGTGAAAATGGTGGCGCTATGGAGGATCTTCACTGAACGGTGAGTTTGGGCCCCATAGGAACGCATTAAACTTTTCCTATGGGTTTTTAAGTTCTGTTTAGTGATGTTTCTGCATAGCGATGATTAATCCGGAATGGATTAACGTCGCTATGCGGGGCACCACTGTACTTTCAGTTTTCTACAATTTTTTGAGTTGAATTTTTTTCTAAGATTTCTCTCATGATTTTAGATGTAACTGGCAACTTTTCAGAGTCGGTTTAGTAAATCCTCTGCAGATTGTAAAACATTTAAATAAATGAGCTTTTCTTAAGCAAAATAAACAGTGGTCATGCCCCTTTGTCTGAGGTATTTTTGTTCCACGGCCGAAACAGTATTTAATTAAAGCTATGGAGGCCATAAACTACCAAATTTAACCATTAGAAAAAGAGAGAAGGGGGAGGGGGTGAAGAGGGAGGTAACAACTAAATCTTTTTTTTTATTTTTAAGTAAATAAGAGAGCACAAAGGGACAAGGTGGATAAAGAAGTATTTTAGAGGCTATTTACAAGAAATTTCACTTTTTGAGCTCTGGAGCCATTGGAGAATGTTCTTGCTACAGAAGACGAAAAGGGACTGAGGAAAGAGGGCAGAGCATGTGCAATAAAAACAAGGGAGGGAAAGACTCTAGGCTAAAGCTCTGGAAGGTAGCCATGGAAAGTGTTCCTGCAAGCACAGAACCCAAATGTGAGAAACACGAAGACAACAACACAGAAGGAATCTTACAGGACTTCAGAAATAAAGAGAGATCTCTATCTAACCAAAAATAAACATTTCCAAAATCTACTGCTCTTAGGAAAGGAATGCTGTGCCTTAACCATAGTAAACCACTGCTAAATGCTATTATTTCTTAGTTGTGGATCTGCAACTATATGAAGATAAATGTATTATAGGAACAGGATAAACCCTAACTGGAGACTCCCACTCTTTATAATCTTGGCACATAGTTCACATTAGAAAGCCATATGCATGACCAAAATATGAACTATATGCTTTGATTTGCAGAATGGAAAATATTTAACTGATCTGCCAGGACCCCCAATTTTCAAGTAATCCTTTTTAAAAACCTATTCAAGATTGCTGGCATGCTGCCAAGCTCACAAAAGGCAGCTTCTTTATAAGGGATGACAAAGACAGAAATTTCAAGAATAAAGATTTAGATCTACAGTTCGGAAAAAGTTAACTAAACCACTTCAGCAGTTGGACTGGCCATTTTAGCTTGGCCATTGTAGCTTGTCCATTTTAGTATTTACTTTTTGTTGCAATCAGAGGTTGGTTTAAATGGTGCACCAAAAAGAAATGGTCATGTCACCAAGCATTACACATGATTGTGTAGTATAAAAGATGGACGTTGTTTTGAGGCTTCAGAAAGAGCCTTTTTCATTGCTTTGGTCTGTGAGGTGGCTGTGACGATTGCCCCACGTCACTCCTGTCAATCAGATTCAGGATCTCATTTGCATGAGCCTATGAGAGGAGTGGAGGGGCGGAGCCAGCGGATATAAGGTTTGGCAGAAGTGATGGAGGAGGAGATATAGAATTCGAAGAGATAAAATTTGCAGAGAGATATATAGAGATAGTTAGGAAGATAATGAGAAGGATACTAATAGAGATAAGATGGTCAAGATTAATAGATAC